GAGGGGCAGGCGGCAGTGTCCCTGGGCGGTGGGATGCTCCCGGGCAGGTCCCGCTTGGTGGAAGCAGGTCTTCTCACTCTCGGAGGAGCTCGATCTCCATCCTCGCTCACTCCTTCCCTGGAGGTTCCTCTCCAGCTCCCGGCTCCCCTCAGCTGCGTGCAGGGGGCTGCAGGCAGGGTTGTGACAGCGAATGTTTTTCTGCTGGCACAGCTAAAACCTCTAGCCAGAGCACAGCACTGACTGCGGTAGTGAAAATCCTTTTGATCCAGTCCTTGCTTGTAATCCTAAATTTACTGTAGCTACCTGTAGTAGTTAACAGAAAATAATACAGGAAATAACATGACAATTGTTAGAGACTGAGTAAGGCAAGAGCGCGTGGTCTCAGCACATGCAAGCAGTATTCGGACTCTGGTCAGGAAATAAGAGGTTGTGATGGAGAGAGGAGTTGTTTTCTGGGGAGCTAGGGGTGGAAGGAACAACCCAACTGCCAGGTAGCGAATTAACATCGCGTTGGTCACGTGCAGACCGACAGGATGGTGGGTTCCCATTTAAAAGCAAAGATGTCTTACGCTATTATTTATGACACTAAAGGGAAGGGCTCGGCACTGAGACTGTTCTTTTGACCTTGAGCTGGGGCCCGTGCCGCCGTTCCCTCTGCAGATGCTTTGCTGCTGCTTGAGGTTTAGGTGAGGTTTTCTGCCTCGAGATATTAAAAATCAAAAGTAAAGACTATCTCGTCATTCTTTTCTCACTTGCTCTTTCATTTTCCCTTTCCATGGTCACTGTATGCTTTGTGTCACTGACACGCGTGCATTTCCCACGTCATGGCGTTGCTGCCTGTTTACCTGCTGTGTTGTCAGATGAAATTGTTGGTGCAGTTCTTGTCTCTGACTGTGACTGTCTAGTCCCCGAGGCGGGTTCTGTGAAATCCTGCGTCTGGAGGTCAGCTCTGTACAGGGGATTAGGGGCTGAAGAAGGTGGGGATTAGTAAAAGGACTGCATAAAAATAGGAGGCAGCTACGGTGGGGAGCAGGCAGCATTGATTTGGGGGTGGATCATCACGTCTGAAACGTCTCAAGAATTATTTTTAAGACTGATTTTGTGTTCAGGACCGAAAAAAAGCACGCTTGACAAAAAGCTGTGAGATAGTGTGAATACAGCAGGAAGACAAAACTTGCCCAGGAAGGCTTAGGAGATCCAGAGGCCGTGATGTAGGAGTGAGGGGGATTTAATAACACAAGGCCATGCTGTTAGCTCCCAGTGAGAAGGATTTCTGCTGCGCAGAGGGAGAGATTGTACCTGGAAAGGCTGCGTGAGGAAAAGTGTTTAGGTTGCCACTGGATCACAGGACATCAGGTGTCTCTGCTGCGTGGTGTTCGTCACAACACGGGAGCAGAGCTCTGCAAGTTAAAGCTCAGTGTTAGCGCTGCAGTCAGTTTTCATTGCTGAAAACTCTGCTACCTGTGCGGATATTCCTGATGTTGTAAGTCACCTGGCTCCAGCTGGCTGCTTGCCGGTTAGGGGTCCTGATTGGATCGGGCTCTGGGGCACGGCGGGAGGTCTGACTCTTCTTTGCTTTCTGCGCAGTCAGAGAACGCGAAGTCTGAGGGCACGTTCCAGGTCACCATGCTGCCCGGCGACGGCGTGGGCCCGGAGCTCATGCACGCCGTCAAGGAGGTGTTCAAGGTAACGGCTCCTGCGCCTCGGCGGGACGGGGGCGGAGGAGGGAGGAGCAGCAGCTCCAGAGCTGCTTAAAGATGCTGCTGATCCAGGGACCCCCCAAGACCAACCTGTCTGTTTCCCCCTGTGCAGAAGGGCTGTGGAAACCCTGGGGTCTCGCTCTTTCCATACATAGCCTGAGCAGCAGACTGGCAAACTGTCTCATTCGTCAGTGTGACAATATTCCCAGCCTGGGACCGTGTCCCGGAGCTGGCGGGGTCTGGGTCCATCGCCCGCTCGCTCCTTCTCATCACACACTGATGCTCTCCGGGCTGCTGGTGGGGAGGGCGCTGGCCATCCTCATCGCTCCTGTTGGGAACGTGGCCGCAGCGCTGTCATTGTCCAGCTGTCCTGAACCCTTTCTGTCCTTCTGACCTCCTTCCCAATCTGCGGTGAGCTCTGTGCTCAGGCAGCAGCGTCGTAACTCGGGGAGGGGGGGAAGTCAGTAGTTCTGTCTTCTGACATGGGAGTTCTGTCGCGTCGAAGGCAGCAAACGTGGGGTTGTCTGCCACGATACCGGTTATGTGGCTGAAACTACAGTGAAGAGAGGGAGTCCTGGTGTTAAAGGTGACAGACAACGTCGTTGTTCCGCTGGGACTGGGGAGACCCAGAGGCCCAGGTTTAGCATTTCCTGAGCCCAGTTCCCTCCCCACACTGAGCAGGCGGTCTGGCCAGTGTAAGGCTTTGTGTCCCCGACCCCCGTCAGCATCCCCCTGTCGCGAGTTGTGTCACTTCCCTGCCGAGTCCCTGACCCCACACCTCTCTCTGCTCTGGCCCCGCACTTCTCGCGCAGGCCGCCAGCGTGCCCGTGGTCTTCGACGAGCATCACCTGAGCGAGGTGCAGAACATGGCCTCGGAAGAGAAACTGGACCAGGTGGTTGATTCCATGAAGGAAAGCAAAGTGGCCCTGATAGGTAAGGACTCGGCGAGGGGGCTCTCCGCTCTGCCCGTGGGAAACGGCGCCTTATCTCCCATGCCTTTAGGTGCTTTCAGCGGCAGGGATTTCTGGGGTTAGGCCCTGGAGAAGGAAACACGCTCTCTTTAAGCTAAGCAGCAAATTGCTGCAATACTTACTGAGCTTACTGCGGGAGAGGGGGGTTACATCTGTCTTCTGCCTCTGAAACGAGATGTTTTGGTAAGGCCGGAGAAGCGAAGGGCCTCGCCAGGGTCCCGTATAGCGAGAGGTCAGTCTCTGCGCTTGGCCGAGGTTCTGCCGAGGCACCCCCTGCCCCAGGCAGCGTCCTCAGCCCTATCGGCGTGCTCCGCGTTCTTACTCCTGCTCGGTGTTGTCCCGCAGGCAAGATCCACACCCCCATGGAGTACAAAGGCGAGCTGGCGTCTTACGACATGAGGCTCAGGTGAGCGCGGTCCCCTGCCGGGGCTGGGCACCGGCACGTCAGTCGCTGGGAAAAACCGTGTTGCGTTTGGTCGTGGTGTTCTGGCACCGAACTGGGGCTGAAGGCAGGCAGGTGGGAAATTAATGTGTCATCAGGGAGCAAAAGGTCCAGAGCCAGGAGCTGCCTCTGCCGAGTGTGATCCCGCTGCCTGCGGCCTTGGGGTCCTGGGGAGGAGGGGGTGGCTGGAAAGCGGACAGCGATGACCAGCCGCGACAGAGGGTCGTGGACGCCACGCTGCGATGTGTGGCTGGCTCGTGAGGGGAAAGGTGGGTGGGCACATAGCTATGGGAAGGCGTCCCGGGAGGTGGGGGGCTGTTCACACCCTCACCAGCTGTTACCCCCAATACTTGTGGGAACAGCCACTGCCCCAGAAATAGCTCGTGATGAAATTCTGACTCTGCTGCTGCTTCTCTCGCAGGCGCAAATTAGACTTGTTTGCAAACGTCGTCCACGTGAAGAGCTTACCAGGCTATAAAACACGCCACAACGAAATGCTGACTCTGCTGCTGCTTCTCTCGCAGGCGCAAATTAGACTTGTTTGCAAACGTCGTCCACGTGAAGAGCTTACCAGGCTATAAAACACGCCACAACAACTTGGACCTTGTGATCATTCGCGAGCAGACGGAGGGGGAGTACAGCTCTCTGGAACACGAGGTGCGGGAGCCTCCCTCCAGCTCTGCCCGCGGCTGTTGCTGGTCAGGGAAAGCTGTCCCGGGATGTGCGGCTCTCCTTGCTGCCGGGGACGCGTTCCTGCGTTCCATGCCAGAGCTGTTCGGCACGACTGAGGGACTGGCTGGAGCAGCAGTGATGTCCCACGTGACAGCGATGGAACTGGGGGAGCGTTTGGTGATAGGAGTACACGCTAGGATGGTGGTGGGCTGCAGGGGGGATGGTGCCACAGGAAAGGGACACGGGAATTAAGGAACCTCTTGATGGGGGGTGACCCAGCGTCGGGCAAAGGCACCTCAGCTCTGCCTCGCAGCGCCGGGACTGTCGGCGTGGGGAGGGTGGGTGAGGCAGGGAGCTGGGCTGCGCGCGCACGTGACGGCTGCTCACGCCCCCTCTCGTGCCCAGAGTGCGAAGGGAGTCATCGAGTGCCTGAAGATCATCACCCGGGCCAAGTCGCAGCGCATCGCCAAGTTCGCCTTTGACTACGCCACCAAAAAAGGGCGCTCTAAGGTCACGGCTGTGCACAAAGCCAACATTATGTGAGTGAGTGCCACAGGAGCAGGTTTGGAGCGCGGTCGGGCGCACGACTGCTGTCCATCTGGGACCTTGTTGCTCGCAGCTTTTGATCCCGATCAGGGCAGCACCGGTCTGGCTGCCCAGAGGCTGGGCTCTCCCTGGGGCTGGTGTTTGTTCCTCTCTCCATGCTCTCTTCTCCAGCATGAGCCTCGCTGAGGCCTGACAGCTGCATCCCCGGGGCTGTCAGCTGAGAAGGGGAAGAGCTGTGGCACAGAAAGCTGATCCCCCTGGGCCCCCATTTCACCTCCCGTGGGGTGCTCTAGGGTTGCCTGCCTTCCCCCGCCCTGCTGCGGTGGGACGCCAGTTGCTATCGGATTACCTGCTGCTGTAACGATTTCACCGCTGTGCTGCAAACCCTTTGACGTGTTTCTTGTCTCGCAGGAAATTAGGCGATGGGCTCTTCCTGCAGTGCTGTGAAGAAGTGGCAGAACTGTACCCCAAGATCAAATTTGACACCATGATCATTGACAACTGCTGCATGCAGGTGAGGAGCCCGTTTCCCTGCCCAGCGCCGCTCTGCACTGCTCGCTGCTGCTCAGCAGCTCTGAAACCTGAAAAGCAGCTGCCGCTGACAGGTCCAGGCGCCACCCTGGCCCCAGGCCCGAGTTTTGCTCCTTGCACAAGACAGGAGACTTCTCCCTGCTGTGCTGCAGGCGAGGGCAGGAGCTGCAGGGATTGAAGGCGGCAGGGCACTTAGAATCAGAGTCGTTTTGGGGGGAAAAGACCCTTAAGATCCCCAAGTCCAACCGTTACCCCAGCACTGCCCAGCCCACCACTAACCCATGTCCCCAAGCACCACATCGCCACGTCTGTTAAACACCTCCAGGGATGGGGACCCCACCGCTTTCCTGGGCAGCCTGTTCCAGGGATTGACAACCCTTTTGGTGCAGAAATTTTCCCTAACACCCCATCTAAACCCCCCC